GCCAGCATAGCATCTCCTTCCCTCTCTGACCTCTGTCTGCTTCCATCCTAGTAGCATCCCTTCTGACTCTGATCCTCCTGTCCCCGTTTTATAAAGACTCTTGTGAATACATCAGGCCCACCAGGACAGTCTCTCCATCTTATGCTCCTTCATTTAACCACGTCGGCAAAGTTCCCCTCTACCATGGAAGGTGACATTGTACAGGTTCTGGGGATTAGGATGTGGATATTTTTTGGAGGCAATTATTTATTCTACCTCAGGGATTATCCATCTGTTTCAAAGCCTAGACACGGACAGGGAGAAGAGTGTATTTGGGTTCCTACTTTGGAATGGGGAATTGTAGACCATCCCTATCTGTTTCAGCTGTATACAACAAAACCCTTTTTCTTTCTGGGTATCTTTAGATTCTATTTTTTGAATTATTTTTGAGGGCTTTTATCCATGCAATGTACACTTAAAAAGAAGATAAATTGATACACTTAATTTATTATTACTATTTTTAAAATATATACTTTATTGATTTTTTACAGAGAGGAAGGGAGATGGATAGAGAGTCAGAAACATCAATGAGGGAGAAACATAGATCAACTGCCTCCTGCACATCCCCTACTAGGGATGTGCCCACAACCAAGGTACATGCCCTTGACCGGAATCGAACCTGGGACCCTTCAGTCTGCAAGCTAAAGCTCTATACACTGAGCCAATCCGGTTTCGGCTATTATTATTATTTAAAAAAACAAAACATATTTTTATTGATTTCAGAGAGGAGAGGAGAGAGATAGAAACATCAATGATGAGACAGAATCATTGGCTGCCTCTTGCACACCCCTCACTGGGGATCAAGCCCACAAGCCAGGCATGTGCCCTTGACCGGAATTGAACCCGGGATCCCTCAGCCCCCAGGCTGACAGTCTATCCACTTAGCCCAATCGCTAGGGCGAAATGTACACTCTCGAAAGAGGTGTCCACATCTCTTACAGCCACCAGGTTCTGATGAGCCCCATCCATTTTCTTCCTTTTTCATTCCGTTCACAGCTGTTGCTGAGTGTCCACCAAGTGCAAGGCAGCATGCCGGGCAATCGACAATCTCCAAGACACGCTCCTTTCCGTCGCAGAGCTTAGGTCTAGTGGAAGGAGAAAGGCACACAAGCAGTTATTTTTAACACAAGGCAGGATGTGCTAAGTGACATTAAGAGTGAGGAACCAAAGTAGTGGGGAAACAGGAAGGTGACATCGCTTCTAGCCCCGAGGGTGTCAGATCAGATGCCCCAACTTTTTGTTCAAAAATACTATGATTGCTAAAAGTCCCTGAATTTTAGGACTTTTAAAAGATAGGATGATTGGTCTTCCTCTTTCTCTTCGGGTCCTTGTTTCAAAAGGGGTATCTAGCTCTGATGACTTATGTGAAGTCACTTCTCCTCAAGGTTGAGTAAAGTTGGGGACAGTAGGAATTTGCGAGGCAAAGCAGGAGTTGAGAAGGAAATGGTCTTATTTCGTGTTGGACGTGAATGGGTGATCTGCACCCTGGGCTGTCCTCGGAGCCGCACCTGCTTCCCCTGGCGGACCTGCGGACACCCAGGAGGCTGGCTTTCCTGGTTAGAAAGGCAGCAATTCCCCACATGTCCTCCTAGGGGTAGAGGGGACTCTCCAGCCCGGGACAGAGTTTTAGAAAATACAGTTGACTTCTCCTGGAAAAACAAAGCCAACCTCTTCTTACTCTGGTCATGGAAACCACGTTGGCACCTCATTATCGCCTCGTTAGCAAGGGCAGGCTGCTGTTGAGGACAAACCTGGTAGGAAGGGCTGGCTCCCTGTGGGCAGGGTTTTGCGTTAAGCTTACTGTATTTTTCGGACCATAAGACGCTCCGGACCATAAGACGCACCAGTTTTTAGAGAAGGGAAATGAAGAAAAAAAGATTCTGAAACAAATAGTGTCCTAAAATATTTTATGTGCATTAAAACCCAACATCACAGTCATAAACACATGTAATCAACCCTGTAAACAGCAGCATTTAGAACCATTTTAGAGCCGGGCAAGCACACAGAGACCACACAGAGCCGGGCAAGTAAAAAAACTTTTTTTTTAAAGTATATGTGTAGGCTATATTTGGACCATAAGACGCAGGGACTTTTCCCCCCCACTTCTGGGGGGGAAAAAGTGCGTCTTATGGTCTTAAAAATATGGTAATTGCTTTTCTAAAGCTCAGCCACTTAGTGCAGAAATCTATCATCAGACTCTTGACTATCCTCCTCTCCCTTTCATATTCTTGCCTCCCCACCTCCAGCATGTGCCCGGGCCCCGTGGAGCCGCCAAGGCCCTGTTGAGACCAACACCCCTGAGAGGAGCAAAGGTCTGTGACCACCTTTCCCAGGAACCCCCAGTCCTCCACAACCTTAAAATGCAGCCAGCTCTCCTGCCCTTGGAGCACAGCAGGGCTGCTGGTTAAGTGAAGGTGGGATCTCCTTCATGACTTGATTTCGCACAGGAGGGGAAATAGTAGCTCAGGGTCATTTTTATCTGGCTTCCACATGTGTTTTTTACATGCATTTGAACACGGGTGTGCCTGATCTTCTGAGAGCTCAGTTCAAACAAAACAGCGAGGCAGCCCATGAGACACACTCAGACGGCTGAGAGGCTGCACAGCCAACCACCAGCGCCCTTGCTCTTCTTTCCAAAGCCTGGCTGGCAGTGGAACCCCACATCTGCAGGTGCTCACTGTAAGTCCTCGCAAGCAAGGCCACCTAATCTCTCTGAGCATTAGGTTCTTTCCCTGCATGATTGACATATCTCAAACGAGATAACGCAATCTGGGTAAGCTGTGGCGTTGCAATCAATGTGAGACTCTCTCCTGCTTACCTTCTTCCCCATGACCTATACACACACACACACACACACACACACACACACATGCACCCCTCATCATTTTCTTAGACCAACCCAAGCAGAAGCTTGCTTTCTTCAAAGTGTCACCAAAATGGGAGAGATGTAACATGCCACACACTTTCCATGTCTCCCCGTTATTTCTGGACCACGTGCACCCCTAGCTTCTCTCCTTTGTTTCATTATGGTTAGACTTTTACTGTACAGAACCTGTGGCAGTGGAAACCCTGTTGCAGCCTTGTGGCTTCTGTGCCACACTTATTTATGTCAGCATGCTGAATATACAGCTTGGGTTGTCCTTGTTAACCCCAGCTTCAAATGCACTGTCCCATTCTTCCCTCTCAAATGTCCTGGGAATCCCAGTTCATCAACACCCCAAACATATTCCCCTATTACACCCACACCCCAAAAGAGGTATTTAGCTCTGGCTGGTGTGACTTTGTTGGTTGAGCTTTGTCCCGTATACCTAAAGGTTGCTGGTTGGTTTGAACCCGGTTCAGAGCACATGTCCAGGTTGTTCCCCAGTAGGGGGCACGAAGGAGGTGCCTGGTCAATGTTTTTCTTTCATCAATATTTCTCTCTCCCTCTCCTTTTTCTCTCTCTGAAATAAAAAAAGAGGGGGGGGGGCTGTTTAAGACACAAGAAATATGCCGAAACCGATTTGGCTCAGTGGATAGAGTGTCAGCCTGTGGACTCAAAGGTTCTGGGTTCGGTTCTGGTCAAAGGCATGTACCTTGGTTGCGGGCATATCCCCAGTAGGGGGTGTGCAAGAGGCAGCTGATCGATGACTCTCTCTCATCGATGTTTCCCTCTATCCCTCTCTCTTCTTTTCTGTAAAAAATCAATAAAAATATATTAAAAAACGAAAAGAAAAGAAAAGACATAAGAAATATGGTATCACAAAAGAGCCCTCACTATGGTAACCACATATTCCAAACTTTCTGGGAAAGGCTGTTTCCTTATGCATCCTGGGTTTTGGTCCAGAAAGCACAGTAACCACAGCAGAGGTCACGTGGAAGGCACAGGTTCAGAAAGAACTCCCCTGTAGTAAGAGTCTGTGCGAGCCCACCACTGCCTACCACCTCAAATTCATTCTTCTTTGTAAATGCTTGGTTATTCTTTGTGTGGTTGGGCTTGAGCACTGGCTGAAGGGAGCATGATTCTTGCTGCATTTGGATGTGAGATAAGGACAAGGATGAAAATGTGTTTGGTGAAAGCACGCACCTCTCATTCTGTCTGCACGTTTGAAGCCTGCTTTTCTCAGTTAACATTAGAGTACAAGGATTTTCTCAGGTCACTAATTTTTTTTTTTGGGGGGGCCGTAAATAATGACCATACCAAATTCAAATAGTTCTACTATTGGGGTTCAGGGTGGATGGGGAGAGTGGAAACCTAAGGAACATTTTGTGTGTTGGGATGTCTTCTGTCTTAAGCTTGGTGCCAAGTACACTTTTTTAATGTCTTAAATATTACATAGTGAAGCAGAAGCTTAAACACCAGTAGTAAACGTCTACTGAACATTTCCTTCTGTAGCTAATACAGTTTACTCAGTTTAAAACTCCCCTCCCTGTTCTAGGATTATTTATAATTTTCAACTATGGACACTTAAATCATGAAGTACTACTAACCATCTTTGGGTGTCAAGTTGTGTCTGATTTTTAGCCTACTTTCTTCAGAGAGATTCATAGAATTGAATTATTGGGTCAAAGCATGTGCATACTCTCAGGAGTGCATATTACGTGGCTACCTTTCACCAGAGTTGTGTGGCTTTAAGACAGTCGTGGACACGTGTCCATTCCACTTGATCTCACACCAGTACTGAATGCTATTGTGTGTGTGTTTTAAAATGTGCCACTTTGCTAGTTAAGTATTCGTTGCTAATATTTCTCTTCGATTATCGGTGAGATGGGACATTCTCTCATCTAACTTTTCTGGTGGAGGTCTACTTTTTATTGATGTGTATGTGTGAGCACAGGGTTTTGCAGACTCCCTTCTATGGGGGACCCTGTGAGGAGGGGGTGGTCTTGCTTACATGGGGGGACCCCAATTATGCACCGAGAGAGCCTCCTGGCCTCCTCGGGGAAAGCAGCTGTGCCTCTCGCCCCCTGTCTTCCCGCAGTGCTGCCAAACTCCTGGACAAGAACCCGTTCTCGGTCAGCAACCCGACCCCCCTGCTTCCTTCGCCTGCCAGTCTCCAGCTGGCTCAACTGCAAGCCCAGCTCACCCTCCACCGGCTGAAGTTGGCACAGACAGCCGTCACCAACAACACCGCGGCCGCCACCGTCCTGAACCAGGTCCTCTCCAAGGTGGCCATGTCCCAGCCGCTCTTCAACCAGCTGAGGCACCCATCCGTGATCGGTGCCCCACACGGCCACACCGGGGTGCCCCAACATGCCGCGAGCGTGCCCAGTGCCCGGTTTCCCTCTAACACAATTGCCTTCTCACCTCCGGGCCAGACACGAGGCCCGGGGCCCTCGGTGAGCCTTCCCAGCCAGCCCCCCAACTCCATGGTGATGCATCCCTTTGGTGGCGTCATGCCTCAGACCCCTGCCCAGCCGGCGGTCCTCCTGGGCATTGGCAAGACAGGGGCAGGCCCCGCTGTCGCCGCTGGATTCTATGAGTATGGCAAAGCCACCTCGGGCCAGGCCTACGGCTCTGAGACGGATGGCCAGCCCATCTTCCTGCCGGCCTCGGCCTCCACCTCGGGCAGCGCGACCTACGAAGGACAGTACAGCCAAGCGGGGCAAGATGGCCAGGCCGCCTTCCCCAAAGACTTCTACGGAGCCAACTCTCAAGGGTCGCACGTGGCGGGGGGGTTTGGGGCTGAGCCCACGGGGGGCCTGAAAGGGGAGGTGGGCCCACTGCTGCCGGGTGCCAACAGCCAGTGGGAGAGCCCCCTCGGGTTCTCTGGCCAGAGCAAGTCCGACCTCGCGGCAGGCGCCAGCCTGTGGCCTCCAGCCCCCAGCCAGTCCTACGAGCTGTATGACCCAGAGGAGCCCACCCCGGACAGGACCCCTCCTTCCTTCGGGGGTCGGCTCAACAACAGCAAGCCGGGGTTCAGCGGCACACGGCGGCGGGCCAAGGAGGAGCCGGCAGTGCTCTCCGTGCGGCCCCTGCAGGCCCACGAGCTGAACGACTTCCACGGGGTGGCCCCCCTCCACCTGCCGCACGTCTGTAGCATCTGCGACAAGAAGGTCTTTGACTTAAAGGTGAGTCATCTAAGACGGGCGTAGGAGCCACCCATGCAGCCCGGGCGGGCTCCTCATCACCACCCAACTCTCACTGTTTATGGCCAAGGAACTGGCACCTTCGGGGGCTGGGGAACAAAATGTTGCCATCTGTACCCTTGATGGCAATCACAGGCATTAGAACCAAAAGGAATTCCAGAAATGTACAAGGGCCAGTCCCTTACTTTAAGGCAAGTAAGAAATTCTTAAAAAAAAAAAAAAAAAAAAAAAAAAAAAAAAATATATATATATATATATATATATATATATATATATATATATATATTATTGATTTTTTTACAGAGAGGAAGAGAGAGGGAGAGTCAGAAACATCGATGAGAGAGAAACGCCAATCAGCTGCCTCCTGCACACCCCCCACTGGAGATGTGCCCACAACCAAGGCACATGCCCTTGATCAGAGTCAAACCTGGGACCCTTGAGTCTGTAGGCTGACGCTCTATCTACTGAGCCAAACCGGCTAGGGTGCAAGGAAGACATTCTTAACCCACGTCTTAGCTGAGAAAGCTGGAGCTGGGGGTGGGGGGAGGGGGAATGGGAAGAGAATCAAGTGACCCCACCTGGATTACAGAGAAAGGACTTGGGGCCTAGACCCTCCCACCTCCTTCAAGAAGGCTTTTCCTCTGTGGCACACGTAGGAGTTACATATATTGTGTTGGAGACAATATATTGTAGTGAGTTTGAAAGGGGGGACAAGTGAGCAGAATTTTGGATCGGGGGCAAAAGACATTCTCAGGTGTGACTTAGATAAATTATCAAGAAGGCCTCAGCGTCCCCATCTGCGAAATGGAGCCTCCTGACACTGCCCAGTGATTGTAAAATGCTTCAGCTCCAGCAAACAAAGTTCCATTCTAATGTACAATAATTTCTCCCCAAAATGTACTGATGATGCAGTGAAATATTTCAAAGCAATAGTAACAGCTAACATATATTAAACCTTCCCCGTGTACTACTCTCACTTTACAGAAGTGAAAACTGAGGCTCGGAGAGATGAAATGACTTGTCCCGAGCCCGGGGGCCCCGTAGCTAGAAAGCAGCAGAGTAGAGATTTGAATATGGGTCTGGCCCTCCCAGGGCACGTGCCTCTTAAGCTCTACTGCCTTCTGTCTCTCCTCCCATCTGCATTTCATTATGATCCCTCCTTGGTGGGAGTCACACTGCCCTGTCATTCCCCTCTTCCCGGGCCCCCTCTGATTGGGTGCATCTTGTCTCTCAGGTGGGATACAGCCTCTCACCTCTAGTCTCTGGAGGAGACTGGCTGACAGGAGAGGTGATGGAGAGCTTTGTCTCTCCTAAGCCTTTCCTAAGGCTTTGCAACTCACTGTGATTGCACCTGCTGGATTCTCTCAGCTGGATGTGGACATGGGCTGGAGGTGCGGTGGGACTGAGGTCCACTGAGTGGGGGAGAAGGAATCAGGTTTCTGAATCCAGGCTTCTGTTGAGGATCGGCCTGGGCTGTGCAGGTGGGATGGAGAGCAGGAGCTGGTCAGGAGTCCGGGAGGGAGAGGAGGCGGGGAAGAGGTGCATCAGCAGGGTTGGTTCAGCCTCCTGGTGCGCTGAGATCCTGCCTGGCCTGTGGACTCAGTTCCGCTTCTGTCATTTTTCTTTTTTTCTGGTCTAGGACTGGGAGCTGCATGTGAAAGGGAAACTTCATGCTCAGAAATGCCTGGTCTTCTCTGAAAAGTAAGTGCTGTCCAGGAGAACAGGTTCATGCACGTGCCCAAGAAATCTTCACTGAGCACCTGCTGCATGCTGTGCTTCCTTGTAGTGCTGGGAAAGAGCAGAGCGAAGTCCCTGACCCAAGGAGCTGACACTTAAGGGGCGAGGGGTCAGATGATAAATAAAATGAATAGTGAATCACATGGTGTCCATGGGGGTAGATGTTAAGCAGAAACATCAGGGCGGGGGCAGTGATGTGTGTGTGTGTGTGTGTGTGTGTGTGATCCTTGCACAGACACCTCAGGAAAGGATGGAAGGAGCTCATGGCTGTCTTGGGGACATGCACTGCTGGCCATGGAGAATGCAAGTTCCAAGGCCCTGGCGTGTGGCCCTAGGATGCTCCGGCAGCATCGGTGTGACCAGCGTGGGGTGCTCAGTGAGGAGCCAGCAAAATGCCAGAGGCCAGATCCTGAGCCCTTGGCTAATCATAAGGACTTTTGCTTTGAGTGTGACTGGAGCGTTGGTGAGCTGAGTGAACGAGGGGTGTGCTCTGGCTCTCCTGACCAGGCCCCTGGCTGCGTGTGAGAATAGATAGTGGAGAAGAGCAAAGGCAGGCGCCCGGGGACCAGTGAGGAGGGGTACAGGTTTCCACAGAGAACAGGATGCCATCCCCAAACCAATGGGGTGCAGTGTTTTGACATGAGCGCATTCAGAAGGCCTCCCTTTCTTACCAGTATTCACAATAGCCTCAAAGGTGGAAGCAACCCAAAGGTCCCCACCACATGAACAGGCAAACAAAGTGTGGTACACACATACAGTGGGATGTTACTCAGCTTTAAAAGGAAAGGATTTCATGCTACAACATGGATGAACCTTGAGGACATTATGCTCAGTGAAAGGAGGATCCCACTGATAGGAGGTACTTAGAGTCGTCAGATTCATAGAGACAGAAAGCAGAGTGGTGCTTGCCTGGGCCTGGAGCCAGGGAAATGGAGAGTTCTTGTTTAATGGGTTGAGAGTTTCAGTTTTGCAAGATGAAAAGAGTTCTGGAGATGGTTGGTGGTGATGGTTGCAAAACAATGTGAATGTGGTTAACACCACTGAATTGTATGCTTACAAATGGTGGAGCAGGTAAATTTTGTGTTGTGTACATGTTAATGCAATGATTTCAGAAAGATTTTCTCTGGCTCCCCGTTTTTTATTGTGGTAACATATTTTTATTGTGCAAATATTACGTCTAGTTCCAGAACATGTTCATCGCTTGCACACCCAATTGCCCCCACATCCATTAGGCAGCCACTCCTCATTCCCCTTCCTTCCAACCCCCAATCTGCTTTCTTTCTTTGTTGATTTGCTTTTCTGGACATTTCATATAAATGGAATCATATCCTACGTAGTCTATGGTTGCTGGCTTTTTTCACTTAGCACAGTATTTTCAGCTTCATCCCCATAACAACATATGCTACCATTTTATGGCTGAATAGTATTCATATCTCTGTGTGTGTGTGTATCACCTTTTCTGTACCTATAAATCAACCTTTTAATCTATATTCAGAGCGTTTCTTCTATCTTCTGGCTCCTGTGAATAGTGCTGCTGTGAGCATTCATTCATTCATTTTGTTTCAACATCGAGTTTAAACTATTTTGAGTCTATTCCTAGGAGTGGAATTTCTGTCATATGGTAGCTCTTTATTTAACTTCTTGAGTAACTGGTTCCCCTTTCCACCCCTCTCCAGCGCTGCTGTCCGGTGTGTTCTCGGTTCGGCAGAGGGAACTCTGTGTGCCTCTCCCAACAGCACAGCCGTTTATAACCCTGCTGGGAACGAAGGTGAGCAAAGGCTGCAGGTTGGCAGCTGGAGCCACAGATCAGCTTTCCCAAAGGTTGAACACATCATACCTGTGATAACCAAACTTCCCTTCCGTGTCCTTATGTGTCTGTCTATAAGGCACACAGAGCCCAGTGCCCTGAAATGCATGGGGCCTGCTGTCTGGGCTCTTGACATTTTCTGACCTATTTTATTTTATTTATTTTTGAAAAAGTATGCTATATTGATTTTTGAAAGAGAGAAAGGGAGAGGGATAGAAAGATAGAAACATGGATGAGAGAGAAATATTGATCAGCTGCCTCCTGCACGCCCCCTACAGGGGATGGAACCCTGACTGGGAACCAAACTGTGACCTCTTGGTTCATAGGTCGACACTCAACCACTGGGCCACACCAGCCGGGCTTTCTGACCTATTTTAGACATAAAACTTTGCTGGTTATCAACATGCCCAGAGGTATAATCATGACAATCATTAATCAATCAGTTAAGAGGGAATTTCCATTTTCCTCTCCCCATGTATGCCCTAACTGACTTTTGAAGGTAATGTAAAGAACTTGGTTTTCACCCAGTGTTGTGTCATTTATCATTTAGATTATGCCTCAAATCTTGGAACATCATATGCAGCCATTCCAGCAAGGTCATTTGCTCCGTCAAATCCCGCCTTTCCTTCAACTTCCCCAGGGACAACTGTGAGTACAGAGTATTTTCTCCAGGTCATTGTCATCACTGGGGCGTTTGCATCCCCTGCTGTGGCTGGGAGTCAGGTGCAGGGACTTGGGAAGGAGCTGGTGCCATCATGGCTTTGCTCAGTTAGTAGGGACAGTACTCCTCTACTAATGACTTTTTAATATATATATATATATATATATATTACTGATTTTTTACAGAGAGAAAGGGAGAGAAATAGAGAGTTAGAAACATCGATGAGAGAGAAACATCGAATAGCTGCCTCCTGCACACGCCCTAGTCTTGACCTCCATCCAGGAAGACATGTCCCTGGATGGAGGTCAAGACTTGTGTAATTCAGTCCAGTGAGTATGGAGACACGCAGATAAAAATGCTGACATATATTTTAAAAATCGAAGGCATTCGCAGACTTTCTAGCATTCAGCACTGGTTTAAAAAGAGTAAGTGTGTGTCTGTGCGTGTGCTTTGAAGACGTTGGTATTTTATTGACATGGACCGTTTCCTGGGAGTGGGTAACTCTGCAATGTGAAGCAGTAGTAATGTGCCTGAAAGCAATGACCTTGCACTCCTGGTATGCTGGCCCCTGGGGAAATGGCTGCTTCTATAGAATACTGTTTCTAGTTGTGTTTGTGTGCAGTCTCCTCTCTCTATAGCATGCTCTTTAGTCTCCCAACGCTCTAAAGCTCAGCCCTCCTTTTCCAACAGTTACGATGACATTTTTTCTCTCTTTGTTTTCCCACTGGGAGTAGCCTGGTCCCCAGGAGCTGTCTGCCTTTCCGTTCTCTGGGAACACATGGCAGGGGCGGGAGATGCAGAACTGCCTGTAAAACAACATGCATTTGCTAGAGGGCGTGTGTCTGTGTGTTTTGCCTGTATTTTTTTTGATTCTCGATATGAGCAGCTGCAGCCTCTTTTTCTCGTCTCCTGCGACGAGCGAGCACAAGCCCAGACAGCAGACTCCACATGCTGCCCCCTCCATGTGTCTTCTCCTCACGTGCTCTGCTGGGCATGTGCACAGACTTTCCAAGGGCAAGCTGAGCAGTGTAGGTGTGAGGCGGGGGGATGACCGAGGGGGAAGTGAGGAGGTTCAGAGAGGAAGTGAGGTCCACCTGGGCTAAGATGTCTATTCGTCTGTTTGCAATGTTTAATAGAAGTGCTTCTCGAGGGAGCCCTTGGCTGTAAGCCCAGGTTTCGGAGAAAGAGAATTTTGTGGTTTCACTCTCTGCAGCTCCATGCTCAGGGCCCACCTGGTCAGTGGCAACTTTGGGTCCGTCCCAGGAGGACAGGATGGCTGGGTTCAAGGAGGCGCGTCATTTGTCTTTAATTACATGACCTTGTGTCCCAGTGCGGGGTGCTGGCAGCTTCAGGATCTTCCCCAGGGCTGTTTCTCCATCCTGTGGACCAGGGAGACCCGGCACTGAGGGGAGGGGACTGTAACCCAGATTGGGGGGAGGGGACAGATCAGGAGGCAGGTAAGCCAGGGCTCTGGGCACAGTAAAGGGAGCTGGTGTCCAAGAGCCCCTTATAAAGGGGAGGGGCTGAGGAGAGGCAAGGACAGGACTACTCTTCCTGCATCCTGTGCCTCAGCCCCATTCTCCGGGACTGGCCAGCAAACCAGAGGCTTCTCCTATGGCTGTGGAAGCCAGGAAGTCAAGTTCAAGTTCCAGGTCTAGAGCCCACCAGCTGGGTGGCTTCAGGCAATCACTTGCCTTCCCTGAAGCTCCATTTCCTTAAATAGGGACAGTACTCCTCTACTAATGACTTTTTAATATATATATATATATATATATATATATATATTCAGTAATATATATATTTCTGATTTTTTACAGAGAGAAAGGGAGAGAAATAGAGAGTTAGAAACATCGATGAGAGAAACATCGAATAGCTGCCTCCTGCACACCCCCTACTGGGGATGTGCCCACAACCCAGGCACATGCCCTTGACCGGAATCGAACCTGGAACCTTTCAGTCTGCAGGCTAACAATCTATCCACTGAGCCAAACTGGTTTTGGCTCTACTAATGACTTTTAAAGGTAAAGTAAAAGGCTAGGTGTTCACCCGGCTTGTGTAATTGGCTATTTTGATTATGTGTCAAATTTTAGAACATCATTCGTGGTGGTTTAAGCACAATCGCCTGATGCAGTGGTCGGAGCTGGAAGGTGGGAGCGAAGCTGGGGTAGACCGAGTTGTCCTGCTCTTGTGGGATCCAGTGGGAGCACGTGTGTGACAATGACTTGTAAACCAGGCAGCGCAGAAGTAACTGGCTATTGTTGAGTAACGAGCCCCTTTAACCTGCCCTGGAAGCCCGTTCTGTCCAGGGCTGGCTCCATCCGCTAGCCGTGAGTTTGGGCAAGTCTCAGGGCTCCTTGTGCCCTAATCTGTGCAGTGATCTCAGAGATGTTGGGAGGCTGCCTTTCCTTACGTGCAGGGCAGGCACGAGCCGTCTGCTGACCTGTGATCGTTCGTGAGTACCGTTTCCTCCAGATGCCGAGAGACGGGGAGGCCATCTGGCTTGAGCCCAAGGAGAAGCAACGCCCAAGAAACATTTTGCTTCTGCACCGGAGGCCGCAGGAAGGACACGGAGAGCCCCGGACAGCGTAGGGCGATGATGATAACAGTAGCGGACATTCGAACAGAGCTTAATGCATTCTTAGCATTTTTGTGTGTATTAGCTCATTGCATCCCTCAGACAGACGTGTGAAGTGGGGCAACCAAGGTGGAGTGGCCACTAAGTGCCTTGCTCAGGTCACACAGCTGGTGAAGGGAGGCATGAGGACGTGAGCACAGGCAGCCCGGCTCTAGAGAGCTCACCACTCAGCCCCCCTACCTTCTCCCTCCCACTGAGGGTTTCTGAGTTCTCTTCCTTGCTGTGATTGTCTCTTTAGTAAGCTCCCTCCACTTCCCCCCACTCCCACCCCACAAGCTGCTTAGTAGGATCTGAGGCTGAGATACAAGTTCTTCCTGGGCCTTGGCCAACCATCAGCCATGGAGCAAGGGATAGAGGCCAGTTGAAACCAGTACCCATTCGAGTGTTTTTGCCACTGGGACAGTGTCTCCTAGGAGGAACCCAGACATTTGAAGGCATTTTCTGCAGATCCAGTGGAGGGAGAGAGGCATTGTTTGACTGTTGTTATCATCAGACATTCTGTGAGGTCTCGTTGGTCACGTGAGCCTTGCCTAGGATGACTGGGAGACAAGGACAAAGCTGGCCCCGCCATGTGTCATCAGTGGCCTGTTGGCCACATCCTCCTGTAGGCCTTGGCCCTCTTGTTCACCGTTTCAGCAAATGGAACTGATTGAGGTGTGCCTCCCTTTAGGCAAACCTGAAGAACAAAAATATTGACATTGGAAGACAGGCTGAGACAGGAAGGGCCGGTGAATCTGCTCCTGACAGATCATTTACAAGGCTCCTTTAAGAGCCGGGGCATCCCTCATGGAAATTACTGATTTTCCCCCCCCTGCCTACAAATACTGACCTCCAAAGATAATCAGCTACATCAGGGCAATTACTCTACTAGCAAAGGACCCTTTGCCCAGTGAGCTCCTTGTGCATATTCATTTCCACAGTCTTTCCTGCTTTTCGTGAAAATCGAAATGGAAAAGGCAAATTTAACGAGCGGTGGAAATTCCTCCCGGATCCCCCTGCGGCCCCCATGAGAACCCATGAAATCTCTGCTGGGCTTTCTGCAGAAGCGTCTCCTGGGCCTGGGCCAGGGCTTTTTTCATCCCATTCCACTTCCGCACACCTTTCCAGAAGCACACTTTGCTGCAGACCAGCCAGGGCCTCTGCCGTGGTAGCATCCCTCTTGCTTGTGCAGCCAAGAGCGGTCCCTGCTTCCATGGCTGCCTGTTCTCAAGCAGAACGCAGTGACCGGGACTCGGGGCCGGAGCCCTCAGACAGTCTCCGAAGGGTCACACAGGGTAAAACGATCGTAGATCCTGTCTACTGCCCCCGCCAGCCCAGGCCTGGCTGCGGAATTGACACTTGTCTCACCTCTGTGGCAGCACCAGCCTCCCTTTCCCTGTCTCTTGTTGACAGAAATGGGGAGGGGGTGACCTGTGTCTGCCCTCCAGCCCCTCCTTGCCCATCCCAGGGTCCCTGGGGGAGGGTGTTCGGTGTCGCTGGAAGCTCTGCCATTGACTGAGTGGTGGCACTTTGTCTTTGGCTGACAGTCGTCATAAATAGAGTAATCAGGTTTCCCCCAGCGGGCCTTCAGGGCCTTCTCAGGCCGTAAATAGTCCTCTTGCACCTGCCCAAGAAGGACTTGGCCTGCTGGCTGTCCCCATAAAACCGCAGGGAAGCTTTCACAGCCACCTTGGGGACTGTTTAGTGCCAGCGCCACAGATGGGCCTCTCTGGCCTGCCACAATACAAATCGTTTTTATGGTTTCTTTCTCACCGGGCCACCGCACGCCAGGAATTGTGTGTAAATAGGGAAACCGAGGCACGGGGAAGCTTAAGTGTTTGTGGGAAGCCAGAGGTCGCCCGTCAGGTGGCAAGCTGCTTCCTGGAACATCTGGCTTCCCCGGCCCACGGGGTCTCCTGGCTTCCATAGCCCGAGGAGGAGCAATTCATGCAACACATGCTGCCCACCCCTCTCCCGCCAGCCCAGCTCCGTCCCTGCCCCTGTCCCCTCCGTGGGATCACCTTGTGCATTTTCAAAGAGAACAAAGAGCCAGGAGACAGATGTGGGTGGGTTTTGTTCTCTTTGTCTTTTTACAGGCATTCATTCTGTTTTCTTGTTGCCAAAGTAGTACAAGCACCGTCTAAAAAATTCAGTCGCAGACATGTAAACAACAGAAAATTTAACCCTGCAGCGAAAACTAAGGTAGATGTCTTTTACTCTAATGATGGGTTTCTGGCCAGTGTACATCTGCTGGTGCAATTACCAAGAGTATGCATTTTTGCACAAATCAGATAACACCATGTAATCTGTTGTGCAGGATGGTTTATTTCATGTAACATGAGCTCACAATACGTATTTTAATTGATTTCTAGC